AAATCATGAAAAAAATTAGGAAAATTATGATTGAGATAATCGGTATCAGGCAATAGCTTATGTTGTTAAAATTCTAAGCAATTTGACAGAATGCATACTAAAATGATAATCAGCTGTTCAATTATCAGTGAATAAACGGAGCCCAAAGGCCTGTTTAGTCTTAAGAAATTACAGAAGTTATGTGTGTAAAGTGAAATAGGTTGTTTTCCTCTTAATAAGTTCAGTAAAGTACAATTAGGTATAGCAGACTTTTTAACACTCTACTGCTGAAATTATTATAATTAATTTTTAAGTGAGAGTTTTCTTAAGTCTCAGGGAAGAAAAACATATTTGGAAGCATGACATTTTTATCCTACTTATTAGTTATTTGCTTTTGGGAAAGTTATTTAGACATGTGTTTGATTTCTTATTTCTGGTGAATATTTTACTGAATCAGAGCTAACATAATTACCATAGTAGTTGTTTATTTGCTGTATTGTGATTGTTACATGTCCTATAATTTTTGTTACAGTTTTAAAGTGACAGTCGGCCTATCCTAAGCATCGTGGCTGGTATAGGAACTGGGGAGACTATGGTCACGATAGTGCAGGAGTAGCGCCACAGTCATATGTCCCTTCTCAGACTCTTCTTTATTTCCTATCTCTGACTCTGTCCTTTAGTTAGAATTTTAAGTTTCTTTAGGGAACACTTTAGGTTTCTTCTATGCTGTCCACAGTGTCTAGCCCTGTGCTGGAGCTCTTTTTCCAAGTGTCATGCTTTAGTGTTCAAATCCAACGGAGTATTGGGCAGATGTTTGAGAGCATCAATTTCCTCATCTGTGAAATAGAGATAATAGCATATGTCTCAAGACAAGTGGTCAGATCCAAGTGAGATAATATTTAGAAAATGTGTTTTCCAAATAAAAGCGTTATTCAGATGTTATTTACCTTAACTCAGTGTTGAGTCAGTAAATTGAATTGAACTGTTAACCTTTTTGCAACTAGTGGTACTCTAGATAGCCGGTAGGTGCTATTCCACTTAAGTTCCCCTACCGTAGTTGGAGGAAAAACTGTATATTTTAATATGTTTCATTGAAAACATTTGTTTTTAATTTCACAGATTGAGATTAGGGAATGAGGCTGGCATATACTTCTAGATACTCAATTTCCTAGAGGCAAATACTTTGTACTCAGACTAGCAGAGTTCTCTTGTCCAAGTGTCAGGTCTGAACTTCTTATTATTGTAATGACAACAAAAGAGAGAAGGTGGCAACCCAAAGGACAAAGAATAATTCTGGATGTCTACCTACGTTGTTGGCCGATCCAACAACGAAATAGTAAAATTTGGTAAGTCAGACCCACTTAAACTCTTATCTTTCCTTTAGAATGTAAAAAATATGTGTTTTATTTACTTCCAGTTTATCCAAGAGTGGTTTTCCAGATATTTAACAATAAGTATGGCATAGGCACCAAATTGTTAGGGTTGGAACAGTGTACTGGGGGACACCCTGTTCTACTAGCGATTTAGGTCTTTAGTTGTGGAATTGTGGGAATTTAGGGTAGGTTCAGGCCAAGGGGACTGGGCTTGTGTGGGAGGGTGCCGGGGTCCAACCCCAGCAGGTCCAGGGGTCCCCAAAGGTGTGGACGGAGTCGGCGAAGAAGGAAGGACACGGAGACAGTGTTCAGTTGATCAGCAGCCTAGCCAGGATCTCCAGCCAGGATCTCCAGCCAAGTTCTGGTCTGGATCTCCAGAGAGGTTCTGCTTTGGATCTCCAGCCAGGTTCTGTGTCCATGTTGTCTTGCTAGGTTCTCCAGCCAGGTTCAGTCACCAGGTTCTAGTCAGGTTCTCTTGCCAATTTTTGTAGTCAGGTTCAGTCCAGGATCTTTTGCCATGTTCTCTCCAGCAAAGTTCTTCTGTCTGTAGGTTCTGTGTTCTAAGCTCTGTACTCTAAGTTCTGTCTTCCCACCGCCCTGGCTCTTACCAACACCTGGGGAGACTTTGTACATTCTTTTCATTTGGCGTTTCTTTACGTTCCTGATTTTATTCTCAATATATTTTTGCTAAACACCAAAAATTTTAAAAAAAAAAAAAAAAAAAAATAAAAAAAAAATAAAAAAAAGAGAACATGGCTACAGAACCTGGCTGGAGAACCTGGACAGAACCTGGCTGGAGAACCTAGCAAGGGAACATGGCTACAGAACCTGGCTGGAGATCCTGAACCAGAACTTCGCTGGAGATCCAGACCAGAACTTGGCTGGAGATTCTGGCTAGAGATCCTGGCTAGGCTGCTGATCAACTGAACTCTGTCTCCATGTCATTCCTTCTTCGCCAACTCCGTCCACACCTTTGGGGACCCCTGGACCCGCTGGGGTTGGACTCCGGCATAGGGCAGGGCTGCTGGCCAAGTAGGACAGAAATCTGTATGTAACTATTGAATATTTTCCTGAATATGTATATCCAAATGGGATTCATTATACCTAATTTTAAATTTAATTGTACAGTACTTGTTCTTCTTTAATCAGCTGTGGATGATAGTTGCAGGTATTACTTAATATGACAATAGTTGCCTTTTAAAGAAGGTATATGTAAAATGTTAGTTTTCTCAGAAATTATATTGTTATTTATTAAAGCTATTTAAAGAAACCTTATTTTGAATTCCTTCATAAAATGATTTTAATTTAACTTATATAATATTGAACTTTTATTTGTTACGTTGGTCATAAAAGTGGTTCTAAGAAAGCATAGATAATATAGTTTTAGAAGGTATAATTTATATGTATTCAAAGATTTGGGAAAAGAACCAGAATGGTCCAATTCATGTGTGGCCAGTCACCCAGCTGGTAAATGTCAGAGCCAGAACGTCTGATGCGTTTCCTGTTATTCTACTGTACCTTGTTTGTATCAGAAGCAGTGACACTCTCTCCTCTGTCTTCTTCAGATCAGTTTGGCAGCAATTATGATATATGGCCTTTCAGATATGTAGCATGAAAGATACTGTTTCCATTTGAAATATGGGGTAACTGAGGTCCAGTATTCCTCGGTTCCTGATCTGTTTAATTTCTCTGTTCACACTTGTCACTTTCCCTGCATAGCCAGCCAAAGGTATCCTCTATATTCTCTTGGTCGGTTAAAGTCACAGTGAGAGTTAATAGACGGCGCAGATCTATGGACTCCTCAAATATGCATGTTGTGGGCTGTATGACTAGGAAGAGAAAATTTGTTACTTGCATTTTTGCTAAGGCATACTCATTTTTGTTTGTTTTGTTGGTAATGGAATGAAAAAAAAAAGTGATTCAGGGAAACAAGCTCACTCAGAAGATTTACTCCACAAACTCACTTTAGGATTAGCAGAACAGATTGAATCCCTTCCCCATTCTACCCATACCGAAATCTTATCCCTTAAGACACAAACCAAGTGATACCTCTTTCTCTTGAGAGTATATATGACCTAAAATGGGAAATTGGGCTGAAGAACAACAAAATGGGGAAAATCTGAACCTAGAAGTTCTGTTTTTAAGGAGAATCTTTATTTTTTTTAAAATATATTTTATTGAGTTTTTACAGAGAGGGAGGGAGAGAGATAGAGAGTTAGAAACATCGATGAGAGAGAAACATCGATGAGAGAGAAACATCGATCAGCTGCCTCCTGCACATCTCCCACTGGGGATGTGCCCGCAACCCAGGTACATGCCCTTGACCGGAATCGAACCTGGGACCCTTCAGTCCGCAGGCCGACGCTCTATCCACTGAGCCAAACCGGTTCCGGCAAGAATCTTTATTTTTAAGTGTATAGCCTGCATTACCTGGAAAATTGTCATGATCTAATCAGACTGAGTTCTTTTAGTACTCTTAAGAAAAATCTGCTTTTATTGCAAAATATAGCATACACAAAAGTGTATAAAAATTGTGCATTATGTAAAATTATGAATAATTATAAAATTAACACCCATGTACCCACCTCCCACATGACTCAATAGAATATTTTCATTACCTCAGAAGTCGTTCTAGTTTTAGGTAACCACTGTCTCTGACTTTAATGATAATAAGCACTTCATTGTTTTTCAAATGAAATTATTTTTTAACTTTTATATGTATTTCTAAGAGTTCACTTTACTCTTTACTTTTTCCTATTTTTAAGTACATATTCAAGTCCTTTGTTCACTTTTTTATTCTGCGGGCTACGTTTTTTTATCAGTTTGTGGAATTTCTGCATAGCTTTTGACTGGAAACCTATTGTTACTTATATGGTTACAGTGCCTTGTTTCACTCTCTACCATGTCTTTTTTTTTTTTTATTCCAAAGATTCATTCTTTATTTTGATACAATAAAATAAACCCTTCAACCTCTAAAGAATGTCACTTTTTTTCATATTGTTATAGAGCAAACTTACAGAATATCTTCTAACAGCTCCAAGGATATCACATATGCTTTTGGAAAAAGTCATTACTATTTGGATTCAAACACACATCAGTGTGGAGGAAGGAATAATTATCTCCCTCTTCTGATTTTTCCATAATTTTTTCTAAATCATCACAGGAAAGCTAGTGGTTAGGATGTCACATAATTATGCCTGAATCTGCTAAGGGAGGTGAAACCAGACATCTGAATCCAGCTAAATATAAAAACGTGACCTTTTATTGCTCTTCTCTCCTGCTTCTGGAGTAGGAAGGTTCTACTTTATATCCCCATGGGCCAGCAGTAGGCTTGAGTTATGTGTAGGTGCCTTTTGGTTATAGTTGCAAAAGAAGCCATTAAATTCTTGAGGGTTTGACATCTCCTGGAAAGAAGTAAGCTAGAGGCAGACTGCTACTGTGGATTTGCTTAGATGGAAAACATTTACACTAGTAGTCCCGTGGATGTGCTGTAAACATTGAAATAACCAGGCCTGTACTAGTCAGCAAGCTCAGTCAGTGAATCAGGATACCATCCCCAGAACTTTAAGTGGCACATCTGAAGTTCTCACCGTGGAGTTGTGGCTTCGGCTCCATCAACTATGGTTGGCTTCTCTGATTTTATTGCCTATCAGTCTTTACCAGCTGTAGCAGCCACTGCTTGGTAAAACTTTGCCACGAAGTCTGGCTCACTGACCTCCAGCTGCCTGACAAATTCATTGCACTCCTCCTCAGCCCAACCTCGAAACCACTGATCCCAAAGACGTAGTTGGCACTCAAAGATACAAGGTGGTCGGTTGGCTCCAGACACACTAAGCTGCTCCAGACCTTCTAGCAATGGCTGTAATTTTCCTGGCACTGCTTTAGTTACCAGGTCTTGTAGGAAACGTTCACGCTGGGGACCTGGCCAACTGGCAAACCAGTGAAGAATACACTTCATTTCCTGGGAAGTGATGTAAGACATTGGGGGAAGGGAAGAGTTAATAGAATTGCCTGGCACCAAGGGTAAGAGAGAAGGGAAGGATAGCTGCATCGAAGATGATTCCAGTGGCATCCTCCCCTTTCCTCTCACAGGGCACCGAGAGACCATCAGAGTACTTAGGCTCCAACTATCGCCACCGCTTCCATGTTTCCTGAAAACCCTAAGCAAGGCCCTCTACCATGTCTTTTCACTCTTTATTATGTTTTTTGTTGAACAACCATTTATTATTTTTAATTTAGTCATGTTTATCAATTATTTCCTTTATGGTTAAAGCTTTTAGCATACTGTTTTTTTAAAAAAAATATTTGTATTGATTTCAGAGAGGGAGAAGGGGAGAGAGAGAGAAACATCAATGATGAGAGAGAATCATTGATCGGCTGCCTCCCGCATGCCCCACACCGGAGATTGAGCCCGCAACCCGGGCATGTGCCCTTGACCAGAATCGAACCCGGGACCTTTCAGTCCGCAGGTCAACGCTCTATCCACTGAGCCAAGCCGGCTAGGGCAGCATACTGTTTAAGAAATATTTTCCTCTCCCAAGATTATGGACCCATTCTCCTATATTTAAAAAGCTTTATAGTTTGTCTCTTACACTAAGGCCTGAAAATTTACTTGAAATTTTTTTTTTTTTTAAGTTCTTTTGGGGGGGGGGGTGGTATGAGGGAAGGATTCAATTTAATTGCCCCCCCATCCCCCATGGATATGTAATTGTCCCAACATTGTTTATTGAAAAGACTTTCCTTTCTGGACTTTCATGAAGTGCTACTTTTGTCCTAAATCAACTCTTTGTATATTATGGATCTGTTTCTAAGTTCTTTAGTGTGTCCTAGTTGTCTTTTGTGTTTGTGTTGTTGTACCAATACTGTGCTATCTTTTATTTATTTTAATTTAGAGAGGGAGAGGGATGGGAAGGAATGGAGGGGGAGAGAGACATTGATTTGTTGTCTCACTTATTTATGCATTCATTGGTTGCTTTGTCTGTGTGCCCTGACCGGGGATTGAACCTTCAACCTTGGTGTATCCAAACGATGCTCTAGCCAACTGAACTGCCCAGTTATAATAATTCATATCCGATAGAATTTTTCATTTTATTCTTCTGCAAGATTGCCTTGTTTTTTCTTGGCCTTTTGCATTTACATTTTACAATTAGCTAGTCAGTTTCCACACAGACTGTTGTAATTTTAGGCTGTGATTACATTGACTTTATAGAACAATCTGAGGAAAAGTTGACCCTTTAATCCATATAAATGGTGTATCTATTTACTTATCTGTCTTAAATGTCTCAATAAAATTTTATAAACTTAGATGTTTATGTCTCTTCTTAGATGGATTTCTATTTAGCAATGTTTCTGATGAACAAAATTAAAATAAAAACTAGTATATATAGCAGCAACAAACAAAATAAAAATTTAAAAGATAAAATTTACAAAAACATTTGTTCTAAATACAGGCAGTCCTCAGATTACGTTGGACTCGACTTACGTTGTTTCGTGGTTATGTCGCCATCTCCCACTTATTTATAAAAAAACCAAAAAGTTCCGTCATTTCGACATATGTACATATGTGCTTTATGTTTTTTATTACTTATTTACCACAAGTAAAGGTTAGGAATTGTAATCTTTCTTTTAAATGTTTTTTACTGTTTCACTTCATTACTGCTCTATCTGTGCTTCATGTGAGTGAGATAGGTGCTTATGTTGGTGGGTTCCGACTTATGGTGATAATTGTGTTACGTCGCCGTAGGAACGGATCTCCCACGTAACCCGAGGACCTACTGTATATTTCAACTTAAGGTTTAAATTTACCACCTTATTTGGTGCTTTCAACTCCTAAAGTTTGTGCTATTTGATTCTACCAAGATAGTAGTGTGCCACTTACCCACCAGTTTTGTACAGTTGTATCAATTAATCAGAATTATGATATATTCTAACTTGAGAAGTAAGAGGTATTTTATTTTACAGTGTTAATGGCATTACTATATATTCTTACAAATAATCACTTACTCCTTCTAACAGTCTACAAGTGCCGCATTTTGGTTCCTGTTGTATAGCAGATGAAACTTAAATGTAGGGATGTTAATTAGTTTGCCCATTGTCACAGGGCTAGAGAGTTGTGAGCACCTTGATCTGAACCAGGTTGTGTCTAGCACCAATGTCCATGATGTTTTCACTTTTAAAAAATGTTTTTATTGATCTGAGAAAAAGAGGAAGGGAGAGAAAGATAGAAACACCCATGAGAGAGAAACATGTATGGGCTGCCTCCTGCACACAGCCCACTGGGGATTGCAACTGGGGCATGTGCCCTAACCGGGATTCAAACCAATGACGTCTTGGTGCGTAGGTTGACACTCAACCATTGAGTCACACCGGCTGGGCGATGTTTTCACTTTTAACATTTTATCACATAGCAGTGACTCCAGAAGAGCATAGCATTTCAGAATAGGATGGTAATTGATTATGATAATTAGAAAGCTGAAGCATCAAAACACTAATTAATATTCATTTTATGTTGTTTCACTAAGCAAGAGAGAAGATAATGCATTTTGGGAAGATTTCCATTCAATACATTAACATAAAAGTTTAAATAAGCTTGTTGAGCTTTATGATTCAAATTAATTCAAATTTTTTTTTCCTGTAGAAGGTAAGACGTATAAAGCATAAATATAGTACTCATTAATGTTATCTGTTAATGTAGAAACATGTTTTATAGTTAAGAACTCCACTTTTTACATAAAGCTCAATTCTTTAGGATAGAAAAATGTGAAACTTTAGCTTATATTTATATATCTTTTCTCCTTCTGTCAGTGGCTGCCACCTTGCCAAATCCGTGGGAGTTTTATGATCTGTTATCCTCTGAGATCTGTGGATTCATTTAACATTTTGCTGTGATTTTATTGGTTTTGGAATGAAGAACTAAAATCTGACTATAGTTCACTATTCATATAACAAGATTTAAGGATGCTTAGTTTTTAAAAGTTCCTTTGGTCCCATTAGATTTATTTCTGTTTGACTAATGAGTAGATGGAGGGAAAACATTCAAACAGTGCATATGGTTTCTAGAGGTTGTTTTAATAAAAAAAAAAAAAAATCAGGTCTAGTCAATGAAAGCTTTCAGAAAATGATTTTATGAAAAACTCACATTCTTTTAAATCAAGAGCAGTTTCCCCTCTCCCCCCACCAAACCTAAAAGTCAGTCGGACCACTTTTTTTTTCCTTATTCTCTGTCTTCATTTTTGTCAGTTTCTTTAAAATATGTCTTAGCTGTGTGGAGACTTGCCTGAGAGCTGTTTCCTGCTGAGGTAGAGGTCAGTAAAATGATAGCTGGAAAAACTCCATATTGTCTACCATGAGGGCTAGGATAGAATAAAAGAAAATTTAGTAAATGCTGTTGTCATTTACAAGGCGTCACGATATAGATTTAAACCATTGCAATCAACTATTTATTTAATTATTAGAATAGTGTGGAAGTTTAAGTTTAAAAGTGTGTATAAACTTAAGGGAATTTTAAATGGAACAAGTAGAATAGAAAAATTAGTGTATTGCATAATAAAACCAAGTATTAGCTCATGAAAATTTAGTATCGGTTCCACAGACACTTTGTTACGTCAAATAGTGTATATCAAGGTTAATTCAGGAAACAGAAACATTGTCTTAAGCTGGAAGATATTTAATGCAGGTAATATAGGTGCTTATAAAATGGATTGAAGATGTAAAAATGGGTTTTAGGCAGTTCCTTGTAGAATGACTTCCAGAGAGACTAGAACTGACCACCCCCTAAGAGCTGCTTACCCCTGAGGCTGTTGCTGGAGCTCTGAATTTACTAACACATTCCCAGGACTGGTAACCCACTGATCAGCAAGCCAGAATTAAACTGCTGCTGCTGTGGTCACAATTGCCTCTTGACACCCAGAAAATTGGAAAGTGCCACAATAAGCACCGCTGTACAAAACCTCACATTTCTTTGTCTTGGTTTGCAGTTGAAACATCCAAAATTGCACAGGAAAATGGCCTTTGCTTGACTTTTGTTTTTATCATCTTAGATAAGTTGCTTCCATTTGCAGAACTAATTCTCACCCAGAATTTTAAGTATAAGAGAAATGTTCTTAATTTATTGACCTGTCCAACTGTCTAGATGGAGGGAAGAAGGACAGATGAGAATCAGTGAAAATTCTCCAAGTCAGTTCAGCCTTTCATTTCTCAGCACTCACACATACTCTCCCACTCATGCTCAGGTTTCCAAGCAACACTAGTGGCAGAACCATGCAGCTGTCACTCTTATACAGGAAATGAGCTCACTTCTCCCCCAGAAGGGTTAGAACAAAGTAACTTTACCCAGTGAATGGACTTTCTTATCCAGTAGAGATTCATACTGAAGTATTTGTATGTTATATGGGGTTTGCTTTACAATATTTGGGTGGGGGGGGGGATTGGGAGGGAGAGAGATGAGGTAAAATTAGCAAAAATGTTGATAATTATTGAGACTAGATTATGGGTACATAGTGATCTATTACTTTTCTCTATTTTTGTATACGTTTGAAAATTCCAATAACTACAAAAATTAAGAATATATAGCCCTGGCCAGGTGGCTCAGTCAGATGGAGAATCATCCCGTACCCCCAAAGGTTGTGGGTAGTATAAATACCAAAACAATCTATCTATATAAAAGCCTAAGTGACCGTCGCAACAGAAACAACTGAACCGACGACCGAACAGGCTGCGTGGGGCGACCAGGCCAGCAGGGGGGTTAGTGTGGGGCAACCAAATGACTGAGCAGCAGGTTGTGTGGGGCAACCAGGCCGGCAGGGGAGGGCAGTTAGGGGTGATCAGGTCAGCAGGCAGAGGCAGTTAGGGGTGATCAGGCTGGCAGGAGGGCCAGTTAGGGGCGATCAGGCAGGCAGGCAGATGAGCAGTTAGGAGCCAGTGGTCCTGGATTGTGAGAAGAATGTCCAGCAGTCGGGCATCCCTGAGAGGTCCCAGATTGGAGAGGGTTCAGGCTGGGCTGAGGGGACCCCTCCCCATGCATGAATTTCATGCACTGGGCCTCTAGTCAAACATAAAACAAAGACATTACAACAATCCATGCCTAGGCACATCATATTCAAACTGCTAAAAACCAAAGGCAAAGAGAAAGTCTTGAAGTAAACCAGAGGGGAAAATTACCTTAGC